GCTCGCCAGTTCCCGTGACGGTATGGCGTGTGGGTGTGGTCGTTCAGAAAATATCAGGAAACTTCCATGCATAGAAAATGAAATTTGCATATGTTCATACACGCAGTAATATCACTTTAACATTCCTTTCTGACAATTTCCAGTTACTTCTTCCGAATCGACACGTAATGGAAATTGTCTCTTGTTCCGGGAACGCAACATCCGCGAGTAAAAATTATAACACCAAGCGTGTTTAACAGCAAAGGAAAATGGAACAATCACCGATCGCACGAAATTAACGAAAGTTTCACGTTACCGTGTGCTTATCGCTTATAAAAACACAAATTGATACGGCGCTGTTATTAAAAAAAAGAAAATAAAAGATGTCTGCAATTCGAAACTGGGAAAAACGTTTTCCACGTCTGCAAAGTTGTATGATATAATGTTGCATAAATATGTATGAAAAGCATTGGGCGAATGCATGACCGCAAACACGGAGATGATATTACGATGATAAATCCATTCCATATTCGCTGAATCGGATCGCTCTATTTAGAATAACAGTTTTTGCCGGCTACGTAATAACCGTATACTCATTATTGGAATTACTCCAACAGCATACGCATTAAATATATTCAATTGTAGATGTCTCCCTACGATCGCCGCGTTCTATTTATTTAAAATGCTATAATCGAATTTAATAGTGATGTATATACGCATGATATAATATAATAAAATCCTTATCACGATTTCGACGTAACTGAAACCGGTTTATTTTAGACGTTACAATTTTGATTATTACGTATCATTTAAGCGCAAAGGTTTTTCTCACATTTATGAAGAGAACATATTTATTATTGAATAATTTTCGGGATTCGAATTGATTGATTAAACGATATAATTAAAGATTGAACTGGTTGCGCGCAAGGGGTTAGATTTTTATATTACTGTTAAATTTAATTAGTTCACGATGTTGTGTCTTATAGATTTATCCTCTTCGTTAATTCACGTAAAGGAAAAGCATTAAAATAAACATAACTATAATAAACTAACATATCCATGTTTCTCGGCTGTAAAATATTGAATTCTGTCAGACAAAACATGAATTTTGTTTACTGTGCACAGTAGTTGAAGTGGTATTTTCTGTATGCAATTGCATTTGATTGTGTTATTAGCGTCGTTTGAATTTTCGTTCTGCTGAAATTTTTGTTGAGATTCTTCTTGTGAAAGTCATAGTAACAAACCAGCTGTAAGTAATTTAATTGACAGTTCTATTTAATAATATAAGTTTTGAACTTCTTAAATTACTTTTGATCTTGTACGAATCTCTCTATTCTCTTTTATTGAACCACGCAAGAAAAGTTAAAGTTAGGTTTTCTATAAAACAACATATCTGAGTTTATTGGCCTTTCAATCGATATACCAGAATTTTGTTGTGCATATCACAGAATACGGTTGAAGCTAACGATGATTGATTTTTCTTGCCTTTCTTATTTGTTTGTTTAAGATAGTCGGAAAAATCAGGGGATCTCTTTCCATATAATGAAAAATATATAAGATTAAAGATAACATGTGTAAGGATATATAATAAATGTACGAAATAACGTAATGTAATGCATCAAAATAATGTAATAATATAATTTCAGTGTTTTTATTTTTATTTTTTTTCATAATTACCTATAGGTATCATAGGTATGTCGGTTTTAGCACCTAGTTTTTAGGAGTGTCGGTCCTCAAATGTCTTCAAAAATAGTTATTTGCAAGAAAATACGTAACATTCCGTAGGATTATCATATATTTTGGTAGAAAAGTGTTGCTGGTTTGCATCCGTGCACATACATTTCAATTTTACACCTTCAACACAGGGCTTTAGAGCCCAAAGACAAAACATGCCGGTTTTGGTGTTGTTCCTCTACTTTTGACGCGTTTGGCGAACCTCGACTTTTAATTTTGTATGCCACCGAGCGGCGTACCAAATAATTACCGTAATTCGCGGCGGTCCACACGCTCCTGCATTATCGCTATGCGGATGCGACATATCGCGTTCCAAGTGGTCTGCGCCGCTTTTAGAAAGCTTCTGTTGCACTCGCCTCCCCTGTGCGTTCGCCACATTAGTGCGCGAACGCGCTCCGCGGCCTATCGTATTATATTTGTTAGTTCCTGTGAGCAAGCGGCCACGGATTTAGAACTTCCTTGGGACTTGGCCAACACGTGACGTGCCTCCAGATTACCAGAATTTGAGGTATTTCCGACGTAATTGCGCGCACGACGTGCGAGTAGTACGGCATGATCTTATGTAACGCATTTAAGGCTTTATTTCAAGGCAACATCAGGAAATAGCGCCGTAAACTAATTTCGCTAAAGTGTTTGCCAAGTTTTACGGCATTGTGTTCAAAGGGTTATTAGATAAGCTTGACATACCTTATATATCACATCGCCGGCGAGTTGTTCGATCCGGTTATAGGAATACTTTCCGTGCGAGGAGTTAATTGCAAATAATTCAATAATCGCTCCTGATAAGACACTCCCCCGTGAGATTAGTGGTTCGTTATTCGCCTAGCCCGAGAAGAAGAAGTTTCCGTATTATTTCCCTCCCGATTTTGCTCATGGTTTAATATTCGGCGCGTACAACTCTTCCCTAAACGCATCTCAGCGACAGGCGCATTAGTTCGAAACAGTTTCGTGCGACGAAAGTTACGGGACTAACGCCGCGAAATGGCGTTAAGTGATTTTCAGGACGTCGTTTATATGCAAAGATACACATCGCTGACCAAAACTAACTAGCGGTTGGATTTATAAATTTTTTTCGCGCTCGAGATAACATCTATATACGCGCCGTATAATAACACAGATAGGGTCAGCGTAAATTTATTCTCGACGGGTGTATTTAAAGAGCTCGCTCGCACACTGCACAACGTGTAATATATCGACGTGCCGGCTGCGTATCGCTATTTTTAAGCGGTGACAGCGCTTTTCCACCGCGCGCGCGCGCGCGCATACTACGCGAAAAGTGAAATTTTTAACGCGGCTCACTTGACAAGTTATTCCAAAGCCGATTGTAAACGGTGCCGCAGCGCCGGAACGGCGTGTAGCTGCTGCGAGACCGCGATTTCAGTGTCACAAATGCGTCCACCGTCGCGTCTCGGCGGCGCGCATAAATTACACGTAGATTCGCGGCTAACATCAGCGGGTTCGGAAACAACGCGAGCAACCGGAGCGGTTCGCCGCTTTAAAACCGGCAAAAAGGGGCGGGGGAGAGGCTGGGCGCCGGCGATATCCAACTATCGTCTCGGAGATCCGCAAATAATTCCGAGCGCCGACGCGAATAATAGTGACTTCTGCGCAAGATCTCGCCGAGGAATGGCATATCTCGCTCGTAAAGGGTAATCGATATTCGCGAAAACCGTGATCTCAATCCGCGCGCCGCCTTCCTCCGGATGCTAGGCACTCGCGACGATCTCCTCTCGTGCGACGGATATATCCACCACCGATTGTGGTATGCGAAAGCACTTTTTGTTCCGCTTCGCAGTATCGGGATTCGCGACGAAGCGCGATCAAACGGCCTTTCCACACGCGATACGGGAGTTCGATGACAAGTGCGCGCGGGCGCGCGTGTATCGAATAACGGCGTACTCGAGAATACCGCTCTGCGTGTGCGCATGTGTATGTATGTGTGTGTGTGTGTGTGTGTTGGTACTGAGTGTAGATTATATGTGTCCGCGTGTTCGTACGTGCGCGCGTGCGGCTTGAATTTTTCCCGCAGCCCCTCAAGATGTGCTGATACCGCGCGCGTCCGTTTCTTTCCCTTTCATCTGATTTTCAATGGCCGTGCATACATCCGGGGGCTGTGCGGCGGCGGGTATTATTCCACGGCCTTGAACACGCGAGGCCCGCGCAGTTTACGTTATGACCCGCGGAAGCTCGCTCTCTCTCTCTCTCTCGTGCGCGCGCGAGCGAGCGTTCGTGCAACATTAAAATCTCGTTTCGCTGAATCGCAGGTGGGACAGCGGCGGCGCTCTTCCGCAGGGGAAATTATACTTGGGCATAAAAGCGTTTTTCTCCGTGTTCCCCCCGCACGCGCTGTGGGCATTATTGTTTTCCCAGTCCGCGGCCCGCTTCTTCCACTGGGCTTTTCAACCCTTTGGGGAGGCATTAAGGACCCCAACACTGCTCCCGCACTCCGGCTCGTTGTATATTTTCCACCGCCCTGTGATTCTAGGTTATTTTCTCGTGCACTTTTGACGTCACGTTATATATGAGAGTGTCGACTTCCTTTTGTACTTTTGCCTCCCTCCTCTCGCAGCGCGAGATGGTTTTAAATATTGAGGGGTGTTCTCTCTCTCTCTCTCTCTCTCTCTCTCTCCGCAAGAGTAACGAAAATCAATAACGGTGTATCGCGTGAATAAATATTTGTGGGAGTATTTAAACATTGTAGCTGCGTCATAGTCGCGTACAGAACGATTGCGCTTCCCCTTTTCTTCCCGTTGTTACTTCATCATTATATATATCGGGAAGTATTCATAGACGCGACGGGGCCTTGCCTTTCGGCTGATCGAAAATGTGTCGCTCAGAGTGACTAAGAGAGCGACCAAGAAAGCTCCGCTCCGCGAACCAGCATCATTGCCGTTTACATTCGTTTATTTATGGACGTCGGAGCGATTTTCAGACCGATTCGATCGAGTAGATCTCGGAGCGGAGTTTATTTTCGTGTTGTGACCGACGTGTCCCTCTGCTACGTCATCACACCACGAACGGGGAAAGCCGTTATAGTAAGGTTTTCAGCACAAACGCGACTTTTCCTCCCTTACGTTCCCCTTCCAAATACCGCATGCCGATTTTGTGTCTGCGCGCGCGTTCCTGCGTGTCGTTCAGACGAACACATATCACCCACGCGATAAATCACACTCGCGCACACACACACGCAAGCGCTGGCGCGCGCGCGCGCCCGTAGGGTTGGGGAACTCCGATTATTCCCGGTTTATTCGCGGAGCAATCTCGGGCGCAAGATTACAATGACTCACCTTCGGCTGCACGTAGTACGGTTCCGCCGAGTAGCAGCAGCAGGATCGTCGCGGACGCTCGCATTTCCATAGTCCTGCGGAGGGGATCCTGCCCCGGGTGCATGATCGAAGGGAGATCCACCTGGGATGCCGGGATGCGACGGATTTAAAATTTCCTAGCGCACCACATTCATCAAGAGCACCGCGCGACAACGACGACGACGTTCCGGATAAAGCCACAGTAATTCACAATCGCGGTCGAATCAACGGAACTGGCGGGAACTCGTTGTCTCTCATCGCAGCCGCGGAGCCGATCTCACTGCTTCCTGTCGATCCGCGAGATCACCATCCGCCGCACTCTGCGCCGGCTCGCGATGAAGAGGACGCGGGGGAAGTCGGATGAAGGGGGCAAGAACGCGAACAGCACAACCACCGCTTCCGGGGGAGCAGACCGACTGAAGAAGACTGGCAGGAAGAACGTGAAGGGAGCACGTGCGCGCTCGATAAGCGGCGGAATCACCGCGGCTCCAGGGCGTCGACAACTCCGACACGGCGGGTTCCCAGTGGGTGATCTCCACGACGAGGACCCCGACCGAGGAAGAAGACCGTGTCGTGATTTACGCGGGACGCGATCTCCCCCTCTCTCTCTCTCTCTCTTCCGGCCGCTGGTGAGAGGAAGTCGGAGAGGAGGTCGCCGACGAGGTGGCTGGTGAACGAGCAACCGAGCCTGAGACAGAGTCGCGAGCGACTGGCAAGCCTCGAGGCGAGGTGGAGCGACGGAGGCGAATCGTGCGCTTACCCGAAACTAAGCGATTCGCGGCCGACGGCGCGGCGCGCACCTGTCGTTCCGCGGGTCGCTGCGCATGTCCCTAGGAGGGAAGCCGACAACCGGCTGCCAGAGCAGCTCGTCCGTCCTGCGGGGACGCGAGGGTGGCTGCAGGTGGGAGAGACGGGTGCGAGGGAAGCTCGATGGGCGGCTGTGTGCTGCGGACTGAGAAGGACTCGAACAGGCGGAAAGAAGGGAGCGCGATCTCCGCGGAGACGGAAGGTGTTGCTGCGTGAATGCCAAATGAAGATTTTCCGCGCGATCCCCCGGAATCCTCCGCTTCAAGTTCGGAGCCACCTTCCGGAGCGGTCCCTCGCTCGACTCCGCGTCTGATTGACACCGACTTTCGGGTAGGTCGCGCCCGTTCCTGAGTCGTCGCTCTTGCTGCGAGGCGAGCGATGTATTATATATAGGCCGAGATTGCCGTGTTTACGATGTATCGCGCTGGACGTGCCACGTGTTTCTGTCTTAACGGCTGGACATGCATCTTTAATATCGGAACGGCAGTCACATGGGATAGCGTAACACGGATGTTCGCGTGACTCTCGTGGTGTCGCGCTGTCTGCGAATCGTGAATTTAACGTAAAAAGCCGCCGGCGGAACGGTGAGGATTTGGAAGTTATCGAATGCTTCAGCTCGACGCGGGACTTCGAGCGAACGGTGCGCTCGCGAATATAACGCTTATAAAGAGAAACTTTAAATAAGGATCTAATACCCCGAGGAAGATCCCGTTGTCAGCTGCGAGCTATATTTTTCAACTGCAGCGAAAGCGATGTATAGGTTGCTTTTTAAAACAGTACCGCGCTTTTAAAACTTTCAGTGAGATGCGGCAAATATATCACATCGGAAGCGGCTTGAGAAAGATCGGGAATTGTCGTCGTCTGAAGCTGTCCAGAACCTCGATTAAAATTTTTTCTCTCCGAAAGCGTTCTCGTGTCATCGGGAGAACAAGTGTGTTGCAAAATCGCGAAGAAGGGACGCGTATTAATTTATCTTTCTGCAAATATTTATTATTAGCGATCTGGATGTTCTGTTAGTCTTTAAATATTATTTCATTCAATTTACTCTACGTGTTCGAAATTTAATCTCCTCAGAGGGAAAGAACTGACCAAATAGTCATACAGTTACTTTGCGTTTATCCTATGACAAAAAACGCAGCTTGAGTCAAAAATAAAAGAGGTTAAGCCGCTAAAAACACTGCCATAAACACTGTCTTGTGGTTCATTACTTCCCTTTTGGTCAACATTCTGCCTTGAATTTATTGTTTTTCACGTTTTCGTAATTTCCCGAAGTATATTCGGAATATAAGGGAACGTATTAAAAACCATCGTTATTTTATTAAGAGATTAGTGAGAGTAATATACTAAAAATTATTTTCAATGAAAAAATTAAAAATTTACACGTGTATATAATAAGAGTAACATGAAGTTTGATTTCGTTTGATCAAAGAGAGGAATATTTTCGCGAAATAACAGCTAGAATATGTAATCATTTTCGTACCTTCATTCTTTTCGTATTCGACAGAGATTTAATAAGGGCTATTAACCTGATCAACATAGAGATAATGGAAGCTGAGATAATATATGTTTGGATAGCTGCATTGTTACTTTGACCCTCCTATTCCAGCGTATGCTTATTTACGTGTGATACATGTGTATATGATTAAATATCCCAAACAGACAACATATACAGTCTATTTGATTACTCATGTCATAAAAATAACAATGTTTATAAAACATAATTTCAAGGATAAATTTTCGGAATTGATATTCAAATATTTTAGCCATGAGTTCTCAGTTAATATAGCAAACGATAAAATATGATATTTCTATAATGAATAATTCAATCTTTCAATTATTGTTTTTATACGGGCTAATTTAAAATAAACGTAAAATTAATTTATCCTTTTATTAATCTATTTTTGCGGCAGTATGTAGGTGCGTATACACGAAAGTATATTTAATTTAAAAATAATATGCACTACCTGCATAGTTGGAAAAGTAAAATATCAAACGCCACCTAATGTGCGCTGCCTTGTCAGATTATAAACAAAATTTGCCATACGTATAAAATATAATTTTTTTTATAAAAAAAATCTTCTGAATTCCCACGGTGCTTTAATATTCCCGAGGTCCTCGAATTTACCTTTCTCGATAATACAAATTGCTTCATTAAAGAAACGACATGTCTCGCAGTATCCCACCGATCGACGTATTAATCAAATGACAAAAGGTGCAACCAATCGGATCGGTAAACGTACTATCTTATTTATACATGATTAAACATATTGATTTTAAACAATGTCTGCGCATTAGGTTGTGCGTCTGCGTACGAATTGGATTTAAATTCGGCCTTTTACGCGAGAATTAGGTGAAACTCTCGCGCGTATTACACATGTGTGAGGATTGTGCGAGGATACATTTCTGACCTGAATACAATAGTATACATGCTTCGTATGTTTCATGTGCTCAGTTTGTGATGTATGTGCGCGTTTATGTATATATATATGGCACGTTTTACGACACTGAAAAATATTGTTAAAGCAAAAGAAGATCGGACTCCACCTACACACATAAAAGTGCATCCAGCCGTGGACACTCTCTTTCTGGGCTGTTGCGCAAAATAGCGTCTGCGCTCATGCAACACTAACTGCTCTCTGTATTTCAAATGCTTTCAGGGGAGTGTATAAAATGTTGAGATATTGTTTGAAAACGTTGAAAATCCAAAACGAAGATGTTTTCTTTTTTCACACTCGATGCAAAACAAAGCATAAAATGTTGATCTCTGTGCGTGTTTGTAAAATAAAAGGTAGTACTCTTGATGGCTTAAGTGTACTTTGAATGAATGTTTCTATATACAAGTTTAGCGTAAGGAAGGGGTGAAAATATAAAAGTTCCTTTCACAGGATATATTTAGTATCTAACGGTGACATTTTAAATCGATCGTGCATGCTGCTGACATGCAGAAGTAATTATTTTGTTTTTGTAAATTCTACGACATTAAATTTAACTCCCGGCGTTAAATTTAAGCGCGGTAAAATATAAAGACAAATCCGATATTGGTTAAGAGAATACAGGAGACCCGAACGTGGAAACGTGTCGGCACTCGTATAACAACATCAGAATATGTTATTGACAATCGGTGTTTTTCACGAAGTCTGTTTATTATCTACATTTTGATACGCGTTTCACACTCGTATTCTGTGCACGTCCGTACAGGAGACACGTTTGACAATAAATCGAATCTGTAAACAGGATTTTATTTCTATACTATTAATTCCCTTTGTAATTTGCGCGGACGAGTGCAGTATAAAAATATCGATAATCACGTTATCTTCCCCGGGCCGCAATTTGAAAAACCGCTATTTTCAGGAAGGCACTGTTTAATATTAATATTAATATTAATATCGCGGATTAACTACTTTTCGAACGTGACCTACATTCCCGTCTTCCATGTTGTTTCTGTAATTTTGAATACATTCAAATGGCCAACTGTGAAGGTATTTTAAGGGTCGAGAATCTCTCATAATGCAGGTCGAACGAAATTACGTCATCCTGCCGCGCGAAGAATCGCCTTAAGCCGATACAGATACCCTCTTGTTTTGCTGTAACAGAAAAATCATAGCGTAAGATATTTTTGGCACACGAAACAGATACAAGAAGAAGCGGGCCAATCATGACAAACACGTGCCAGGGTAGCGACTTCCAAACCCGCCAATCTTGTCGTTCCTTTTATCGTTCCATTTTCCACTTCTTTCTAGACTTTATATAAAGGGTTCCTCGAACGTGCACGCGGCACAACAGTACTTATATCCCCGCCGCGCGCGTGAGACTTCCAACTATTTCATCATAACTCTCCGTGTGAACACGCAGGATGTCCGGCAATTGCGTCCGGATAGTTTGTGGACAAACTTTCAATAGTCGAGCCGGCGTCCTAGCTCAATCTTTTCAGACAAACCGAAACAAGTTTGAATATGCAAGACGCGACACACACACACACACATCATCGTACTAACCGTTAATGAGTCACGTTCAATTTGCTGCTTGGCGAACGATTGCCGTGCATAATAATTGTTACGCGTTGTCATAACAATGTACATGTACGTTAATCGGAGCAGTGTTTGCCGATATCGGATCTCTTCCAACGTTGCCTTAAAAGTTTTATTAATACTCGATGTAAAAGCATAGCCGAGGAGGATATTCCGTTTTTATGCTGCCTCACTTCTCTTTATTCACAGGGCCGAGCTAAAAAGTAACGAAACTATGTTCCAAAATAGTTTGGCCCCGGTCCGTTGGCAATGTCTAGAGTGTTTCCGCTGTTCGCCTTCGGTTAAAAACGACAGCATTCACGGTCGAATGACAGAATTCGTAGGAAGAGCGAGCACGCCCGCCGCGTATTTTATTCGCGACACGCGCGCAATATAAGAATTTTACTCGCCGGCATGCATACCGCGTCAGTCGCGTTTAAAATATGTGTCATGCGAGCGACACATTCGACAAGTGCCAGTCGATACATCAATATCTTGCAGGTTACTTTAATAGATTCGTCGGACATCGCGTTCCACTTTAAATGACGCGGTTTCCCGATCCGTGATCCTCCAGGTGGATCCTCCGTCCTCGACTGAAAGTAATCCGTCGGCGTATGAAGCGAACGGCGAAGAATAATTTCGATTACGTTCGCCTCGGCTCGGAGATAACGGCGCGCGTTCGCTCGCTCGCTACACACACGTCGAACCATAAGACGTCGGGGAACGATAATCTCGCCGAGATTACTTTCATAATAATTAATCAAGCGACTTGGAGTGAACAAGGTACATATATCACGGCGTCGGTCTCCCTCTTTCGGTCGGATGCAATCTTATCGGGCTTCCCGTTTTTCACCGCGGGCAGAAAGATTCCATCGAAATACTGTAGCTGGAGATGTCGACCGTAATCTTTCGAACCCGTGGTGATCCTTAGGGATTGGACGAAGGTAGTATTGGTGCAATTGTCGTCACCATAGCGAAGAAATTCTCCTGAAAATGCTCCAATATTCCGAACCTGCCTGCGGCACGACCGTTGATAAAGAAAGAGGGGAAAAAAGAGATAGAAGGTAAAAAAAAAAAAGAAGGCATCGAATTGTTCAGCCGTGATAATTCGAATTATCAACAGCATAATGCGGCTTACGCGTGTAATTTACATCCGTTCGTCGAATGTATATGTCACACTGCGCGGCCCGCGTGTGTTTATTCGTCGTACAATTATCGGCAAAATTGGAGCGTGCGGGACGCCCAGCGCAAAAATTGCAAACAATTAGTGGCGCGATATTTTTGCGCCGGGGAACGTTTTTCCTCTGGGATTATTTAAACC